GGTAAACCGTAGGCAGAGAGAGAGAAGAGGACAACAAACGAGAGGTATATATGGCTGTGACAAACTCCGACGAAACAGTTTTTCACAACCCCTCGTTTGTTGTCCTCTTCTCCCTGTCTGCCTCCGGTTTGCAGGGAAGCTCTGTTTAACGATATATATATACAAGGCTAAAACCAAACAAATAAAAAAATTGACTTTCAATTTCGGACCTCGACAACCAACTGCTCGTGGTGTTTTAAGTCGTGCCAGTCTCGTTGTGGATATTTGCAACATCCCACTTGACTACGCCAAAGTGGGCAATCCATTCGGTGACTTGCACGATCCTCGCTAAACCAACAAGAATCGGGACTACGATTCATATTGAGTCTGACTGAGATTGGATTGACTTTTTGTGTCATTATTTGTTTTTTTGTTTTCTTTTTTCGGACGTTTACATGTAGAACCAAATTCTCCTATTAAGACGTAACGAGGAATATATATATATATATATATATATATATATATATATATATATTCTATTTGACGATATATATGTATATATATATATCGTCAAATATATATATTTGTTGTCCTCTTCTCTCTGGGATGAACTTCCCTGACCGCAAGTCTAAGCCACATGGTGCCATCATACACACAATGACTGCTACTCTACGAAGCGAGGAAGCCGCAGCAGAATCGGTGGTCACCTCAGAATCCAACCTGGGAGATACAAGGAACAAATCACCCCACCATACATCATACGTTAGTGGGCAAGAAGGTGTGTTATGAACTCGACGGAACTCACGACATGCACACAAGCACACGGTGAGCATCTCACAACATGCACACAAGCACACGATGAGCATACACAGGTAGGAAAGAAAGAAAAGGTATTGTCACGCTCAACTTCCACCGACCAAACCAACAACCCAAGGTCCGCCAACACGTCCACTAACCTTCGTGCCGAGGCACGAGTCAAGAAGGCAATGAACTTCCTCATGGCTAACACACGTATAAAATCTGATGTTAATGGTTAACGTAACACAGGAAATACTAAAAACAAAACAGATTAACGCATGAGAATATTAGAAGTTGCCTACTATAAGAAAATCATGCCATCCTCTTCAGATTTTTCTCGTACAAAGGCAATGGATTGTCGATGATTGCCATAGGCGGATGTGTCCTGGGCAAACTAAAAACACTGCAAAGTATACTGGGAACAAATCCAAAGACCACCATGCGTAAGAGAGAGATGATGCCGCGCATGAAGAAGAGAGAGAGAGAGAGAGAGAGAGAGAGAGAGAGAGAGAGAGAGAGAGAGAGAGAGAGAGAGAGAGAGAG